TGGCTGGGAATGCAAACGCATTCCAAAATAGGAGCCAAAATGGGACAAAGGGTGCGAATGTAGAATTAGGTTTTTAAGAGTGTAAAAAAAAGAGAAAGGACAAAAATGTAGAAAACCGTAAACGCGAAAGAATGCAAAATGAATTATGTTTCATAGGGCAAAAGGGGGAACAGAACAAAGAAAAAAAATATTATATAATTTTGTATTAAGAACAGTATATTTTACACAAACAGTGAAAATCAAGTAATATATAAAATTGTCTAAAAATGAAAAACACTATTTCATACAGGGAAAGTGAAACTAATTTACAGTGCTTCTACAGGAACCCCAAGCCGGAGACACTAGGAGTGACGGGGGGCTTTCTTCATAGAGCTGTAAGTAGTAAATTTAAAAAAAATTTCTCGACAGCAGTTTTTGAAAATTTTTCAGCCCTGTAACGTGCGGAGAGCGGCCGTAGAAGGTGCGCGGCTGCATGGCAGTAACCCAAATTAATAAACGATCCTTTATTAGTGCTAAAGAAGCACAAAACCAAAAAAATTGGGAAAAAAACAGCGAAAAAATCGGGCAGCGCTAATTGATTCAACAAAACAACCCACATTTCATTTAACCAACCACACTAAATATCACGGAGGAGAATTCGAGTCAGGAGACGGGACATTTACATTTCACCTGAAACCGAAGGGTAACTGAGAAAGGCGAAGGGCTTTAGCCATCATCTTCGTTTCCTTGCTGCTAGCACCTTCTTCCTTTTGCAACAGACGCATTTCTTGGTTTTTTTTTTTTCAGGATGTGAAACGAATTGTAGCATATTTGCGTAGCCAGGTGCTACGCGATTGCTCGGTGGTGCTCAGTGGCATTGTCCCGGTTGGATTCCATGCGTTTAAGACCGAGGCATATCGCCTGTGCGTGCAGTTTGGTGCTGTTGTTATGGAGAGTGTCACTGATGCCACAACTCATGTGATTGCTGCACGCTGGGGAACCACGTAAGTGTGTTACTTGTTCACTTTAAAGTTACAACCTTTTTCATAACCATAAAATATTTAAATTTAAATTCCTGTAGTTTTCAACAGTACTTTTTTACTTTAAAGTTACAACCTTTTTCATAACCATAAAATATTTAAATTTCTGTAATTTTTAACAAATTTAGACGTTGTAGTAGATTAAAATCCTGTGGAGCTTGTCTCATAATATCTAAATTTCTGTAATTTTGGACAAATTGGGCGGTGTAATGGACTAAAATTCTGTCGAAATTGTCTTACTGAGAGTTTAAGTGTTACTGAATTCTCTCAAATTTACCATTGTAAATTCTAAATAATACAAAAATTGCCTGGAACGATCGGTGCGACTCTGCCAGGTCCTTCTCTTTTAAGCTATTTGCTGTCAGCTTTTACTTCCTACCGAATGTCCATGCCATTTCGCTAGAAGCTTTTCTTGTGGATGATAACCAGTTTTATTATCGTTGCTCGGGCAATCGGTGTTTGAGTGTGTGTGTGTGTGTGCGTGTGTGTGTGCATGTGCGTATGTGCTGTGGATGTGTGTATGTGTGTATACGTATACGTTGTGGATGTGTGTGTGTGTGTGTATGTTGTGGATCCGTTTGTTGGTATGTGTGTTTGTGTGTGTGTATGTGTGTGTGTGTGTGTGTGTGTGTGCGCATGTGTATATGTTGTGGATGTGTGTATGTTGTGGATCCGGTTGTGTGTGTTTGTGTGTATATATGTTGTGGATGTGTGTATATGTGTGTGTGTATGTGTGTTTGTGTGTGTATGTATGTGTGTGTGTGTGTGTGTGTGTGTCGCTAAGCCTTCTGTCGTAAGCTGCGCACTTCCATTTAAAGCTGCTTACCTCCAGGGCATATGCGGGCTATTTCTTCGGAGTTCTTTCGAATAGTCTTTTCTCTGCTAAAGAAAAAGGGGACAATATCGAGTGTACAGTATGGTTATTGTGCACGTTGATGAACCCAACGTTACTTGTACATAAAATAAAGCTTCGTAAAAGTCCACTTTTATTAAAACGCAAAGATACTCTGAAGTAGCGGAAGTGATAACACTTCGCAGCAGCAGCTCTGCCTGGTAAAGCTTTCAATCACTGCCTCTTTGAAGGGTTGCTTAGAAGTGAACAGCTGATGGCGGTTTTGAATGTCGTGATTTTCGTTTCCGCTTTCTGTGGCCTCGGGACCTACGAGGTGGAGGAATCGGAAAGTGGGGGCTTCTACCCATGTTGAAAGGAAAGCCATGGGAAATGGTACCGTAGGATTTTATGCAGTCCAGTACCAATTTACGATGGGATCGAGTGAATTCGTGAGAGGCTTAGGATTAGTTTGAATAAATCGAAAGGGCACGTTCTAATTTAATGGTGGATTTTATAGAATTTTATGCTTCGATTATCTTTTATCTTTTCTTCGATTATCTTTTCTTGCTTCGATTATCTTTTCTTTCCGCTTGTTCTTTCACGATTTAATTTCTCTTCTTTACTTCCTTTCTCACTTTGTTTATCCCTTCACTTCCATTTCTTCCTGTCAACTGTCTTGCAAATTACACACATGACTATTCGAAACATGGCGGGTAGGAGGCTGTACTGATGATTCCCACTCCTACCCGCATGCACTATTCGGTCTGTGTATACAGCTAGGGGATGAAACACAGACTGTGTCATAAAATGTCTTCAAACACATAACATTCAAGTGAAATTCTTCTACTCTTTTATTTATAGAATTTTTGATATTTTACATTTTCTTCGGCGCCCTTCTTGCGCCTTTATTAGTATATTAGTATTTGTCTGATATTTTTTGTCTTGTCTTGAACTGTTA